TGTCCGCGGACAAATTATGCGCGCATATTTTCATGCCAAATAGAGGCTATTGTTCACATATGGTGAGAAGGAATCTATCTAATTATTTATGTTTCATCAATATCCTCAAGTCACCTCTTAAGACTTTGTTAGCGAAGACTAATACACCCCCATTCCCTCGGGAAATCCCTGTGACTCCCCCCCCCCGATAAATAATGCATGTGTTTGCATCCAGACACACACCAGACATTGTGTGGCCTGAGTAATCCCAAGACTCAAAACAAAATAGTGAACACCGAAAAACTAACACTTGAAAAAGCCTGACCAAGGCGATGGAGAAGTTTCACCTTACCAGTAACGAGAGCAATCAAATTAACAATATCGAACATCGCAGCAGTAAATAATCTAAACAATCAGTTTGGTGTTGGTGCAGGGGGTAGTCATGCATGCAAGTCAGTCTTCTAAATTTAGGTGATCAAAATGCTATAAATTTTTCAAGACATTGAAGTTAATACTAACCACGGAAATGAAAATTCGAGGACAACAAGGACTCGATAAAGGTTTAAGCCCTTCTCTGGAGGCCACACCTGTAGTAATCTGTTACAGTTGCTAAGACCAACAGGCACCATTCCCCTACGTCCTCTGAGAGAGACTATTATTACTCTTAAGAGTTAGCATTTTCTCGGTGTTGCTTTGGCAAGAAATGAAACACTCAGTCCTAATTTTCGGATGATCAGAAATTACAAAATCCAGCATGTTACGTTGCTTGCCTTTTACAGGTTGTTGAAATGCAGGTTCTTGAAATTAGATGTAAATTGAGAATTTAAGGATGAATTTTTTTTTAATAACTTCAAGATGTTATGAAATTAAGACGTTTTTTTCATTCCTTGGTTATCAACTATTTGTCATAGGTTGTTGGCCGTTTTAGTTGAATGGTAATGTCATGATACACGAGGAGTCGTCAAACAATGATTGGTTACTTTTTGCCGCATCCAAATATCAAAGGTCTCTTGCTTACTCTGCGTTGTGATATTTTGCTGTTGTTACAAGTAAATGGTTAAGGTTCTTGATAATTTGAAACTGAACAGAAACTAATGGTTCAAGTTCTTGGTGGTTGAAAAAAAAAATAGTACTGACTATCACCTCAAAATGAAATGCAAACGAGACAAACAAAGTAACAGAAAAACATTGTTTACTGAATTGAATTTTATTATAAACGCAAAAGAAAAAAAAGAAAAAATAAATGTGTCACTAATCAGAAAGGGCCTCCACAAATACACTCTACGCCTCCTTCAGCGCCCCATTCAAATCGAGTGCAATTTCAAGATGTTTCATCGTCAAGCCGATTTTGTTCAAAAAGGAAGGTACCCGATGTACCACTGCAAAAATGAACAAATGAATTCATCGCTTTCTATTTTGCTTTTGTCTAATTTCAAATTAACTTTCCTCCCTTTAATTTGTCTCTCTTGAACGAATCGGTAAAAAGTCCCAGAAGAAGTTTGTGATCAGGTTAAAACCAGGCAGTGGCTGGCGCACCGTTTTTTCTTTCCACGATGGTCGGTTGCTATGTAGATTCCTCCCGTTGCTATCTTACAGGTTACGTGACGACGCGTTCACGGCTTGAGCAGATTTAAGCGACAAGCTAAAGGGCTTTTTTTCAGTCGTTTTTCCCTTTTATTTTTGGATTGGATAAAGCTTACCAACCTTCTTGTTTTTTTTTTTTTTTATATTGAATGGCTATGGCCCTTCACTTATTGCAGAAGAAAGAAAAATCAGGCTTTTCGACGGACTTCTCCACGAAACGGGTTTACAGAAGGCTAACGACGGGTTTACAGAAGCCAACACGTCAACGTAACCGTTGTGATTTCGGTATTTCTAGAGTCCTGGGACTGAGAGAACATTTTTTACTCAGGGGGCTCCACTGTTAAGGTAAACGCAGAACAAAAAGAAAATATACCCAAAATACCTGTCCTCCTCCCTAAAAAGTATAATTTTGACCGTCTAGTTACCCAGCATGCCATAAGTCGAAAGTTGAAAGTGAACTTTGATCAAAAAGGCGTCGTTTTCGCCGATTTCTTCGGAGGAATCTAGGTAAGAAAATTTCCTCGATTTTCTCTGTTGATCAGTTTAGGCCGCCATCTTGAATTTCCTTAGGCTCAATCTTGAGTGTTTGATTTCATCTGTAGCCCTGAAGGAGACCGTAAATTGTTAACAGCGGCAAGATAAATGGAAATTGATGATGATGATGATGATGATGATGATAATAATAATAATAATAATAATAATAATAATAATAATGCGGCATTTATTTAGCGCTATTTCTATCACTATCCAATAGCGCTGTACACTATTTTTATACACTGCACCGATAAAATTATAAATCCATAAAAATCTCTAAAACCAGAGTAGAAGAAACTAGCTAATAAGGTAGTCTGTAATAATGAGAGTAAAAACTTTAAAACTTATAATGAAATTAACTAATTTACTAGCCAATTAACTAGCTCACTAACTAATCAACTGATTAACTAACCAACTATCTAGCGGCCTAACTAACTACTTAAATAATTAAATTACTCACTAAGCAATAGTCTAATTATAAAATTTGTTTAAAAGGTATGTCTTTATACTGGTCTTAAAATGTGATAGCGAGCCGCTCACTCTTATGTTGTTTGGAAGAGAGTTCCATAGAGTCGGTGCTACAAAAGAGAAACACCTATGACCATAACTTGCTAGCTTAACAGATGGTACTTTAAGTAAGTTTTTAGAGGAGGACCTCAGATTTCTGGTTGCTACATAAGGCTTCAACAGTTCAGTGATGTAACTAGGGGCCTGGCCGTTGAGCGCTTTGTAGGTCAGAAGTAGTATCTTGTAATCTATGCGCTGGCTAACTGGGAGCCAGTGCAGCTGCTTTAAGATAGGTTTCATGTGGTCGCACTTTCTTGTACGAGTGACGACACGAGCTGCGGCATTCTGGACATTTTGTAAGCGATCTATCAGGAATTTGGGCAGTCCGTATATAGTAGCGAGTTGGTGTTATCTAGCTTAGATGTAATGAATGCATTACATCTTAGATGTAATGTTTGATGTAATTTAATTGGTTCCTGCACCCCCAGCCTGTCTGAAAAACTCGCTGATAACATTTATCTTCAGAATGTGCTCCCTAATCCTGACAAACACGAGGAAAGGGAGTCTGACCTTATGCTTAATTCTCCATGCTCAGAATATTATGAAACTTCTAAATTAGTTACTCAATTCATCTTACAGCTCTAGGGATAGTCTTAGTATATTCCACCGTAATATTAGAAGCCTATCAAAAAATCTACCTATCTTAGAGGATTGGCTATACTCTTTAGAAAAAAAACTTGTCTTAATAGCCATTTCAGAAACAAAGCTGGGCCCGGTTGTTCAAAAGAGAGTAAGTCTAAACCCAGGGTTAAATCGGCCTAACCCTGGGTTACATTTTAAGCGGAGGTTAGTTGCGTTGTTCAACGGAAGGTTAACACTAACCTCGGGTTAAACGATGGGTTAAATTTAACCCACCGAGCGAGCAGGGTTAAATTGTTAACCTCCGGTTAAATCAGGGATAAAAATTAAAATGGCACACTTGTTTTCTTGCGATTTCCGCAGAAGGCGAAGACGAGAAAGGAGATTTAGAGCCGGAACTCAACGTGAGATCGGCGATTTCACAGAGGAAGAGCTGCATGCTCGATACCGCTTTCGACGAGAGTCTATTTTATTTATTAGCAATCTTGTTGCCGGTGATATCAGTCGCAACACTCGACGGAATCATGTCTTACCGCCGCTCCATCAAGTTTTAATTGCTCTCAGGTTTTACGCCAGTGGAAGTCTCCCACAAGTTACTGGCGACACCTTCGGTGTATATAAGTCCACCGTTTCCAGAGTAATTACCGATGTGTCCCGGGCTTTAATCGTGAAACAGCCCCACTTTATCAAGTCGCCTTCGAGGAACGACGAACGTGCCACAATTTAAAACGAACTTTACCTTCGCGGAGGATTTCCTTGTGTAATTGGATGCGTTGACGGAACCCACGTCAAAGCGCCCTCATAACACGAAAATAATTATGTCAACAGGAAAGGTTTTCATTTCATCAATGTGCAAGGTGTCTGCAACCATGAAGGTGAATAGACTTTCTGCTTACGCAAAACGCGCAACAGTTTTACGAGATAATTCGAACACGAACGAAAAATGTATGTATATGTTGGTATCTCTAACCTCAACAAAAATGTTTAATTTGAAGGAATGTTCACCAATGTCGTTGCCCGCTGGCCAGGAAGTACTCACGATAGTCACGTGTTCCGCACAAGTAACATTTGCACTTATTTGCAAAACAAGAATGCCAAAAAAGAAATCAACCAAGTACAATCTGAGGAAAGAGACAAGTCACCATCCTAAAATAAACACTGATAGGTTCAAAAACACGTTTGTTAATCGCTTAATTTTTAAACATAATCTAGTCTTATAATTTTTATCTTGATTTTCTCTGTAATTTATATATATACCTTCTTTTAATGTTGTAACATAGGATATGTGATTATTTATCTTATGACTTAATAAAGATTCAATTCAATTCAATTCAACCATCGTTCCCTCGACGATGGCGTCCTTCTGGGGGACAGTGGGTACGCTTGCAGCCCATTCTTGATGACGCCATACATAAGAGCACGAAGTGCAGCGCAAGAAGCCTTCAATGACGCTCACGCCAAAACAAGAGTGACAGATTATGGCTGCATTTCCAAACTTTTTCAGCCTAAAAAAAGTCAAGATATGGTTAAGAAAGGCGCAAGAAGGCGCAATGTGTTTTGAGCGAGTGCAAAGAATTGTTTTGTGATAAAGATGCTTTGGGGAGAGGTACACCTTTTAAGGGCTTACGGACTTAAATTTATGGAAACTTGGTAACCAGGACTGAAGATACCTTTTGTTCCAAAAGGGAGACTTCTAATTCAAGTTTCCCTTTTTTTAACTTTATATTTTCCTGCTTGGCAATTAGAGCTTTGTATTGCTTCTCAAGAATGTCTTCTTGGGTAATCTTTCTCTTATTTTTTTTGCTTTGATTTTCTGCTTTTTGAACATTAACCACTTTGACTTGAGGTTTCGGTCCATCCTGTACAGCTTCCTGCAATTGTTCAAGCAAACTGTTGTTAACCTCCACTGTGCTGAGGCAGCTGAACAAGTAGCAACCACCAGATGATCTGTGACTTGGTTGCTACTTGTTCAGCTGCCTCAGTGGGTAGGTTTGCTTCAGGGCCTAAAAAACAAAAATTCCATCCCCAAATATTAGAGATAAAAACTAACCTTTTGTTTCAACTAATTAATTTCATATCATTACAAGATTCAACATGCAGTAAGTGTTTACCTAATATTAAAAGGCGGAAAAGGTTTTTTAAAAAAGTAAAAAAACCAAACATTTTTGGTACTAAGCAATCTTCAGATGACCCTGGAGATGGCTTAGGCTTAATTTTTTAAAATCTTTATAGCCTTGTAAATAGTAGTCATTTTAAAAATTCTAGCCAATATTATGAACATTTACCATTGAGACAGTTAAAGCAGTTTGTTCTTGCCTTTAGCATGTTTAAAAAATCAAATTATGTTAGAGAAATTGCTGCTCTGTTTCAAGAGCGTTATTTTTCTGGGAAGCTTTGGGAGACACAAAAAATAGCAAGCTCAACAACAAATTAAAATGTCTTGGTACAAAGCTTCGCCAGGTTCCAGAATATTATGCGCGTCGTTGGTTGCGTGACATTGTGTATACACAACCAGTTATCATATAAACAATACCAGCCGCTGCTGTAGCTGTTGTTCATGTCGAAAATTTATCTTGGTATTTGTAAACAATACTTAAAATAGATCATTCTTAAAGAAACAAGTACTTACTTTCAGGTTTAAAGTGATAAAAGGATATTTTAAAATCCTTACCTGTGGACTCGAAACCCTCGAGGCCGATGAAAGAAGGTCTTTCCTTAAAAATGTCAATAACTTTGGCTGTTAATGCCAACGGTATCTTCGGAGCTTGCCCTCCACCAGTTTTCTTATGCTCCTTTGCCATTTCACTAAATTCTTTCTTTGCCTGCGACTGCAAGTTTCGCCACTTCTCGCGAACTTCGGCTGTTGTCCGCATTGCCACACAAATAGCGTTTACAGCATCGGCGATTTTTTTCCACATTTCATTTTTTTTCTGATTGGTGACGCTGTTGATAAACTTGCTTTGTATCAGCGAAAGGTTTCCTTCGACTTTTTCCGTCAAAACGGCAATTTCTGAAGCGCTAAAATTTTGTTTTCGAGCTATGAGTGAGATAGCTGAGGAAGCCATTTTGCAGAGCTCGCAACTTGCTCACCATGGCAACATTATACGAATAGTTTATTATGGGACGCTAACCGCGGGTTAAACGCGCTTAACCAGAGGTTAGCTAACCTGTCCTCTAACCGCGCTTCGAACAACGCAATTTTAACAGCGAGTTAACAAACTCACGGTTAGGAAATTTAACCTCCGGTTAGGCCTAACCAGAGGTTAGTTTAACCTGTCTTTTGAACAACTGGGCCCTGAACAGCAGATCTATAATCAACATTGATATACCCCTGTACCATTTTTTCCATACTGACTCCGAAACAGCTGCCGGGGGGTGCTGCTCTTTACATTAACAACAATCTTAAAACCATACATAGGGCAGATATAAAGTTTACCATGCCTCTAGTTGAGTCCTACTGGATAGAAATTATTACCAGCAATAACAAACCAAATATTATTATAGGATGCATATATAGACATCCTTTAGCTAATGTACCAGATTTTGCACATGAACTAAAAAACATAATTGAAACCTTAAGCAATAGGAAACAACATGTCTATATAACAGGAGATGGAAATAAATTTCCTAAAGTACAATGAACATGCTAACACTCAAGATTATCTTAATATGCTGCAGTCTAATAATTTTCTCCCACTCACCACTAAGCCCAGTAGATTCACAGATCACTCTTCTACCTTGATCGATCATATTTATACTAATACTCCCATTCAATACACCACTTCTGGTAGAGCTCTGGCTGACATATCTGACCATCTGCCTGTTTTCTGCATCTGTAATATATTCACTTCTAAAAACAAGCAGATAACACATTATAGAGATTACAGTAGTTTTTGCAAAGAGCAATATTTAGCTGAGCTCAGCCAAGTTAACTGGCCAGATTTATATTCCACCTTCACTGATCTTCATGAGATAACTAATGCATGTATAAACAAAGTGAAATATATTGTCAATAAGCATGCCCTTTAAAAAAAATAACCAATTCTAAAATAAACAATTCAACAAACCTTGGTTAACAGAAGGGCTTTTAAAATCAATTAAAAGGAAACAAAAGATGTATAAATCGCATTTTCTCAGAAAGAATTCAAGAAAGATAAAAGAGTACAAACAATACTCCAATCTACTTAACAAAATAAAGGCCAAAGCAAAAGATAAGTATTATAACAAATATTTTTAGCTATACAAAGAAATCTGAAAGAGACATAGAAGCTTATTGGTACGATCATTAAAAGGAAAACCAAAGCTTAATCAAATAATTTGGATATATCAACAAAGTTGAAATGGTAAATTGGCCACCGTAATGATTGCCGTAATGATTAGCTTTTGTAATCATTACGGTGGCCAATTTACCATTTCAACTTTGTTGATATATCCAAATTATTTCGTTACTCCCAACGACGCAGCCCCAAACAGTTTCCTTAGAAACTATCAGCCTTTATTCAAAGCTTAATCAAATTACCCTTCTTTGGCATTGCTCACCAATTTAATCAGCACTTCACTACTATTGGTCCTGATCTTGCTAGTGTAATTAATCCTACTTACGACGACCCCACTAAATAAGTACGCAATAGCCCCACAAATAGCTTCTACTTATCAGTTGTCACTGAAGACTATGCGGCTAGGCTATTTTCAAATCTAAATGAAAGAAAGGCTTCATTAGATATTCGTAATAAGTTAATAAAACTTGCTAGTCGTGAATTATCTAAACCTTTCACATACATTTACAATCAGTCAATCATACAAGGTATTGTACCTAATGTACTTAAAGTCTAAAGAGTAACTCCAATATTCAAATCTGGGGATGCAACAGATCCTGCAAATTATAGACCCATAGCAGTTTTATCACTATTTAGTAAAATCCTAGAAAAAATTATTAATGATCAACTCACCTCATTTCTAGACAAATACAATATCTTGTTCAAATACCAGTTTGGGTTTAGAAAAGACTATTTCACTGAGCTTACTATTTTAGAAATAACTGACACTCTTAAAACCTCAATTGATAACAATGTCATGACATGCGGGGTCTTTCTAGATTTCTCCAAAGCCTTTGATACTGTCATCCACGAGATACTGCTAAGGAAATTACATCAGCATGGAGTACGTGGAAAAGCTTTAGATTGGTTCACAAGTTACCTTACTAATAGAACTCAATATGTGAAACTAGGTAATGTTGAATCGAATTATCTTCAGATTGTTTGTGGAATTCCTCAGGGATCAACCCTCGGACCACTATTATTTCTTGTTTACATGAACGATCTTGCCAACTCTTCAAATATGCTTTCCTTTCGACTTTTTGCTGATGCTAATATTTTCTACGCCACTAAAACATCAAAAGACCTTGAGGCAGTTATGAACTCAGAACTTCAGAAAGTAATTAGCTACTGTAACCTCAATAAACTGTCTATTAACATGAAGAAAACAAACTCTATGATGATAACATCTCCACAGAAGCCAACTATACACAATATTAATATTTCAAACATTGATCGTAAAGCTAGTATCAAATATTTAGGCATTTATCTAGATGAGCATTTGAATTGGAAAACTCAAATAGCACATGTACAAAGCAAACTGACAAAAAACCTTGGAATCTTCTACCAACTGCGGAATTACCTAAATTTAAAGATGCTAAGACAACTGTATTATGCACTTACTTACCCTTATCTTAATTATGGTGCAATGTGTTGGGGCAACACTTATCAGACTAATTTAAAGAAGATCAGTACTAAACAAAATAAATGCATCCGAAGTATCTTTTTTGCAAAAACAAACGGGAACCCTCTTCCCCTTACTACCAAATCCTTGATATTTGAAAGTGTTGTGAGATTCAAAATCTGCTTACTTGCATTCAAACTATATAACAATCCAACAACTATTCCTGCAATTTTCCATACTTTTTTTAATACCTATAACAGATGTCCACTCCTATAACACCAGACAATCAGCCAAACTTAATTTCTACCGACCACAAGTCAGAACAAACATAGGCAAATTTACTTTTAAGTACTCAACTTCTGTTATATGGGAAACTGTCCCCTTGGCATTGAAAAAAATAAAAACATTTAACAGGTTTAAGAAACTTTATATGGCCCACCTGATCTCTCATCAATCATATAATATCTGATATCTGTTTAGTGATCAAATATATAGTATGTAACAATACATATGAAAACAACTATAGTAATAACAGTTAATAATTAACAACTATTCACCAAAGTGGAGATGGTTAGTGGTGGATATTTACCGAGCCGCGAAGCGGCGAGGTAAATATCCACTGCTAACCACCGACACTGAGGTGAATAGTTGTTTTAGTATATACTAAAACAGTGAGATAATATACACCACCAAAAATTGATTTGAGTGATTCCTTGGCTTGTCATGGATACAAACTGGGATGCCAATTTTCCCGAGTTGCTCAGAGGTAAATAGCAAAGGATATTCGGAGTTTGACTAGCCAATCAGAGCGCGCCTTCAACGCTATCCACTGTTTTAGTATATACTAATAATAATTGTCCGCTTATATGTAGGTCTTTGTTGCTGCTGCTGCTGTTGTTGCTGATGATGCGTTGTTCTTTTCCTCTTCTTAGTCTCTGTCTCTGCGTTCGTCCATTGTTGTTGCTTGTTTGTCTGTATGTGTATCTGTTATTGTTGTTGTTTGTTTGTCTGTATGTATGATTGACTATCATTTATTCATTTAATTGCAGTTTTGGAATTGTTTTTATTTTAATGATGATTTCCAATCCTCGTTTATAGAAAGAGAACTACAAAAATCAAAAGGATAGAAAGAGACACTAGACAAAGAAATAAGTGAAGCAGAGGAGACACTGAAAGAACTAAAGGCGGCATATGAAAAAGTGAAAAAGCTGTTGGAGCAGAAGGATTATTCTCGAGGACGAAGGAGTGCTGTTCAGATGATTCAGTAATGATTACCAGTCAAGCACTAGATACAGGAAAAGGAAAGAAACTACAAACATATTAGAATTTATTCATGGGGGTTTTGAACCTTCAATGCATGGGCATGGGATTTTTTGGCTACCAATTCAAGCAATGAAAACATTTGCAAATTATAATCTGGCATCATATCTCGTACGCATGCTTCAGCCCATCTCCAGGAATAAATTCACGATCAAGGACTCTTTCAGTTTTGCGGACTGGGCCAAGACATAACAATAACAATGAAATCATGTGCTCGTTTGACGTTAGTTCTTTGTTCACAAACGTTCCGCTAGATGAAACAATACAAATTTGTCTAGACAAATTGTATGCTATCTCCGATCCCCCAACAATGCCCCGCTCAGTCTTAAAAGTTCTACTTGAGTTTGCCGCAAAGAAGAGCAGCTTCATATTTAATGGTCAATACTACGACCAAATTGGTCCTATTTTGGCCAACATCTTTATTTGTCATTTTCAAGAGAAATGGGTCCTTAGCAACAACGCTCCCCCTTCAGTTTGGTTTCGATACGTCGACGATACCTTCACCTTATTCGACAATAACAACACAGCAACCCAGTTTCTTCACTACCTCAATAAATGTCACGCAAATATCAAATTCACCGTTGAATTTGAAGAGAACCATGGCGAACAATTTGATACATCATGGCCGTCGCGCATGCGAATCGTGTTACTCTGTGGACTTACATTATGTTTCAGCGCGTATGAAATTACAAAGAAAACAGTGAAAACTGGACTTACCGTAGTCAAACCCTTGCTTTCATAATTTTATAACTAAAATTTTTTTCAGGTTCCCAAATCTAATTCAAAAGAAGAACATGTCCCCTTGCCTTTGAGCAATATTGTTTACAAAAAAGTTGATGAATGGACGGTTCCCAAAGCTTTTGAGATTTTCTCCAGTTCCTGAGAAAATCTGCCATACTTCTACTCTAATTTCCGTTAAATTTGTCCGAACGTGGTGACGTAAAACGTTTCAGATGAGTTCTCTGTTGCTCATGTAAGATGTCCCCAGATCGGAATGTCTTGTTCGAAGGCTAAAGTCGAGTTCTACGCTAAAAACGTCCCCTAAAAACTGGAATTGACGGTTCCTAAACCCCCTAAAAAAGGGTTAAAATCTTCCTCTCGAACTAGGTGAGTTCATCCGCAGCTGTCACTTTCACCCGCTCGCTCAGACACCCTTCGTGCAACCATGCTGAATTCAGCCTCATTTCGTCCACCATTTTAAAAAGTCTCTTCTAACTACGTAACCTCTTCTCCTGTTTTCTGAGTTGCAAAACAATAGATTTTCGCGGGTTTCTTTAAAATGTCGGACGAAACAAGTTTGTGATCATGAATATGCAAGAGAAGTTAAGTTCATTCAACCGGAACTTAGATATGCGGCTAAAGCGTTAGAGACGAAACCAATATTCGCCCTGGAAATACCCTATCCATTGCTAAGGGAATGGCACAAAATGATCACTGAGGACACCTCTGAGTAAACCTCACAAGGTTCGCCCGGCCTACAGCTTGTGTCAGTTTATGTTGCTCTGTTAGAAGGGGCAGTTAGGGACCATGCATTGTTCTTCACTGAGGACACCACCACGAGACATGAGATGAACCAAACATTGGCCAAAAGAGCTGGTTCAGTGGCAAATCTCTACAGGACAACAAAAGGTAGAGCAAGAGAGGCCTTAAATGACAGGGTCAAGAAGTCAGTCCACATTTTTGAGGGCCAGGTAAAATCCTCTCAGGATCTCCACAGGAAAATAATTACATTACATTAGCGAAATCAATGAAAGGAGAGCGAAATCAATGAATGGAGAACTAAAAACAAGAACATTGAACAGGAAAAAGAGGAGTTATTCAAAGAAATGACTCAGACTATTGAGGAGAAGGATAGAGTTATTAGTTACCTACAAAACACAAATAAGCAATTGGAAGAATATTTGGTTTATCTGGAAAAATTATCTATTAATGCTGAATTCAAAGGGAAGCCAGTTTCTTCCAGTCAAAACAAAGCAAGAAAATTAAAAAACTTTCTCACTAGGGCTGAAACTGCTCTTTGGTTCAGCAAATATTTTGAATTAGACATTAAAAGGATTTTGGTAAAGGAGAGTGACTCAGGTGTGAAACACACCTTATCCATTAAGAAAATTTTGCCTTGTGATTTGGCAGGACCAAATGAGCAAGCAACCACCCTGAAGTACAATTCCCTCTCTGAGGAAGAAAAAAAGCAAGTCGAAGAAATACTCTTCCTCTTGGACAAGTTTTGTGTGGGTGATTCTTTTGTCCATGAACTTACTATGGTCACAGATGGTCTTCCAAAGTCATATCTGATTCAGCAATGCAGAGCTAATTTAAATAAGCTATGCCACATAGACAGCCTACTAGGAAAAGCACCTGAGGCAAAAGTTAGTGCTGTTAAGGAGCTTATCAAGGAGCATGTAGTAGAGTACCTGAGAGAAAACCCAGCAACTGAAAAAATCCAAATCAATATAAATGGTGATGGGGCTCGTATGACTCGGAATTCCAGCTTTGTATTGTTGTCCTTTTCAATTTTACAGACAGGTCATCAAGTTATGACAGCCAAAGGAAACAGAACTCTTGCTATCCTTAATGGGAAAGAAGACTATACCTCTCTCAAAGAGTCCTTTGGAAACATTTTTAGTGAAATTAACTGTATCATTACAGAAGCTAAAGTCACTGTTGGCCATACTGAAATCAAAACAGAATTTTTCCTTGGTGGTGACTACAAATTCATTCTTATCATGTTAGGTTTAAATGGAGCAACAGCTAACTACGCATGTGCATGGTGTAAGTTCCACAAGGATGACAGATGGAACACAGATGAACATTTCACTTAATTCAATTCAAAGCCACTATCAAGGTCTTTACAGTAAATGAGAGAAATATGAAAAAAATCAAGGATAATTATGGCTGCTGTAAGGAACCCTTTCTGCACATTGAGTTGGACCATATTATTGTTGATAAACTTCACCTCTTTTTAAGAATAACTGATGTGTCAACTTCCAATTTAATAACAGAAGTTATTGATTGGGATATGGAGGAGAGTATTCTAAACACCAGCAACAAACAGGGACACCTAAATAAGTTGATTAACAGCATAAGGTCTTGTGGAGTATCTTTCAATATTTGGAAAAGAACGAATGCAGATGGCAAAGAAAGTTCTGTTCACGACTGGACAAGTCTCATGGGAAACGATAAGAAAGCACTGCTGTATCACCTTTCAGAGAAAATGACTGTTTTCTTGAGGCCTGAAACTGCTGAAAAGATCATAAAAATATGGGTGACCTTCGCAGCCCTGTACAAAAGGTCTCAGTAACTGGCAACCAAATACCAGCCCCACAGAGTTTTGGTTGAAAGAAAAACAATGGGTGAATGATTTTATCTCTCTTGCAGGATTAAAGCAAGGTTATGAACGAAAAAGAGTTACCCCATACATGCATATAATGGTTTCCCACATCCCATGGTTTTTTCAAATGTACAAAGCAGTCAAACTATTCACAGGGCAAGGAGTAGAAAAAAACAATGATGTTGCAAGGTCCATTGTTTTGAGGAAATCAAACAAGTGGGACTCGGTTGGTGAAGTTCTCCGTCAAGAGTCACGTCAATGGCATCTACGAAAAAGGGAACGGGAGCCCAGATGCTATCAGAAACACAAAACAGAGTACTGGGAGGAGGACATATTCCAAAAAAAGAAAAAAAAATTCACCCCCAGAAGTTACTACTCCATCTCAATCTGATCTGCATGTTGGCTAAAGTGCTGTTGCATCTCAAACTCAATCTACTGGGCCTTTGAGCTCAATTGACTTTACAAAAATGAGATTGCCTCAGCTTAAGGAAAATTAAAGAAACGAGGAATTAAAAACATTTCTAAGAAAACAAAACACCAGTTTGTACAATTATTGAAGGGCATTACTGACAAAGAAAACCAGTCAGCCTCTATTTAATAAGAAATGACATTGCCATTAGATGCAGATTATAAAAGTTGCATAGCATATAGCATTTGGCCTGGATATGAAGACATGGCCAGAAATCCAAGACAGCCAGCGGTTTGAAATGGGGGCACACAAATCCAGACAAATTCTTACTGCACATGCGCTCTACTATCCGATTACGGTGAGTAGAATGATTCATGCATAATGGCAGACGGAGTGAGAAGTTCGAGCCGAAATACCCGCGGTTTGTTTCGGCAAATGCAGAAAATATCCTCTGCTGATCTTGTATGGGGACATCAGAATCTCAAGAAAAAGAAAACTACTGCCTCCAAGGACTATTTTCCCGTTGAGAGGCTCGTGTCGAAGAGGACCACACGATCGACGGTGAGTAAATAATTATTATATTAGCCTTGTGGTGTTATTATATTACCCTTGTGGTGCATATTTAAGGCCTTTTACCTTCCAGTTCCAGACCCAATTTTTAATCAAGTGGAAAGGCTTTAGCGCCTTCTTTAATAGTTGGGAGGATGAAGAAAACCTCACTACCGATCTAATCAGGTATTTTGGTTCTTATCTTTACAGAGAACATACAATATTTCATACTGTAATGTAAGTAAGAAGACAAAAATGAACTCAGAAACTGCAAGTTTATCATAAGCTAAGATTGATTCCAGGAATAGTAATTTCTCCTTTCTGCCCTTTGTAATAATTTTTATATCACTCTACAATAACGATGTAGTATTGCAACATTGTTTATTTATAATGAATAACGTCTGTGAAACCCTGTTAACTTATCCTGGTTTTCTTTTTCTTTCTCTTACAACAGATCCTACAACAAGCCAAACATAAGCCAGGAAAGGCTTATTCAAAACATTGATGCCCTTAGGGGATCAATTCTTGCCAAATTGAAAAATAAAAATAGGGGCAATTTTATTTTAGATTTTAATTATGATTGTTTAAGGTTTTTGTTTCATGGAAAGGGGAGGGAAGCTAGGCAGAAAGGGCATATTTTATTAGAAAAAACTGATTTTGATAGGTGCAAATTTCCTGAAAACTGGGATGTTGTGTGTGACAGTAATGGGGATGGGGTTCGGGTAAAATATCCTATTAAAGTGAGGCTATTTCTTTTTAAGTCACCCAAAAACCTTTTCTGTAGTACAGGGAAAGCTTCAAGAAGATCAACGAATGCTTATTGAGAAGCTTTCCCTGGACTTCAGCCGACAGCCATGTACCTTTGTACCATAGGTTAGTGCTTTTTAATTCAACCCTTTTCCCCAATTACTATTTGTTCGATTTTTCTTTTTTTGGGGGGGAATTGAAAGGAGACCAGCAGAAGTCACAATTACTGAATGTGTTGTATACTTGATCCTTTGGCCTTTGTTTTTCTCTTGTTTGCATTATATTCTTTTGTTTGTTGTAGTTCGTCTTTGTTTTTTTTAATTTTTCACTTTTTGTTGTTTGGCACTCCTTTAACCCTTTTTTGAAGTTAACCATTGGGAGTAAAAGGGTTCTCTAGAATCAATGGCAATTCAAAGCAGACACTTATGGAAGGTTGATAGACTTTCTTTCATTTTAGGTTAGTTTCTTTGCTATAATTTACAAATGTAGTTATTACACATGATGTTTATTGACCAGTACCAAAGAATGGTCCACTAGGTCTTGCTGAAAGTTAGTTTTCTTCTTAAGATTCTATCAGGCAAAGTTATCATTTTCTTTAATACCTTCCAGAGTGTCTGCTTTGGATTGACAGCTTATTATATTTAAAGTGTCTTACATTTTTAAATTCTATGTAGTGTAAAAGCTTTTGAATTTTTGATAGTTTCATGAGCTGCCACTGCACTGAGCTGACTGCCTTGGATGTGTACTTTCCTGTGCACAAATTTCCTTTAGTTGTTTAATGAGTTCAGCTTTTTTTTTATGACTGAATCCTTTGCCATTTTTCTGCTTAAGTTCATTTTTTAATTCCTTTACTGACATTTTTTCAAAGTCAGGTTCGGTTAGGCTAGTGGGCTGAGAAGTATGCAATTCAGGGTCAGCTTCACTTGATTGTTGATTACCTTGGCTCTTGCGTTTGTTTTGTCTTTTTTCTCTGATTTCCTCATCCCAATAAGTGGGTTTTCTTTTAACGTATGAGCGCACCTCCCTCTCACGACTGTGTAACACC